TTTTTTCCTTGAAAATTTGGTAACACTATCTCTATGGGTCTATGTTTGAAGTATTTAGTGATCACAAAAGTTTGAAGTACTTAGTGGATTAAAAGGAATTGAACATGAGGAAACATAGATGGATAGAATTTCTCAAGGACTATAACTAAGATCAAATACCATCCAGGTAAGGCCAATGTAGTGGCAAGTGCACTAAGCAGGAAAATGGTGCATGTTGCTTATTTGATAGTTCAAGAGTATCAATTACTTGAGACTTTCTTATATATTCAAAGGAAAGCATCTCAGATGACATTATACAATGTGCATTCTACGGTCATAACCAGTGAATTCTAGAAACAATTACAAACTACTCAGTTTGAGGATGAGTATCTACTCGAGATCTGTGAGGATATTGAAGAGAGGAGACCCACAAATTTTAGATTCAATGATGATAGATTTGTGACTTATCGGGATCATATTTGTGTGCCAATTGATAAGGAAATAAGGAAGACGATCCTAAAGGAGGCACACCGTAGTGAGTAAACTATTTACCCTAGTGTCAAATTGAGCAAGAATGAAGAAAATGTAGTGGTGGCCAAAAATGAAGAAAGATGTGACAGAGTTTGTGATTAGGTGTTTGACGTGCCAAAAGGTTAAGATTAAGCACCAAAAACCTGGTGGTGTGTTGCAACCACTAGAGATCCCAGATTAGAGGTGGGATAGCATATTAATGGATTTCATCACTGGATTGCCTAGAACTCAAGCGAGCCATGATACAATATGGGTGATTGTAGATTAGTTAATGAAGTCAACGCATTTCTTGGCAGTGAAGACTACATGTTCACTTAAGAAGTATGCTGAGGTCTATGTAAATGAAATAGTGAGACTTTATGGGGTGCTAAAGGACATTGTCTCTGACTATGATCTGAGGTTCACATTGAACTTCTGGAGAGCATTGCATAGAGCACTAAGTTGAAATGTAACATGGCCTATCACCCACAGATGGACAGCCAACTGAGAGGACTATCCAAATGCTTTAGAATATGTTACAAGCTTGTGCTTTAGAGTTGAGAGGTAGTTGGGATGCACATCTACCATTAGCAAAATTTGCTTACAACAACAGTTTTCATTTTAGCATTAGAATAGCTCGGTATGAGGCATTATATGGAAGAAGATATCGATCACCTCTGTGTTGGATAGAATTGAGCGAGATAAGTTTGTTGGGTCCATATTTGGTAGACCAAACCACCTAAAAGATGCAGTTGATTAAGCAAAAGTTGTTGACAGCCCAGAGTCAACGAAAGAGCGATGCGAATCGATGTAGAAGACCGTTGGAGTTTCTGGTTGGCGATCATGTGTTTTTGAGGGTCACAGCAATGATTGGTATTGGGAGATCAATAAAGGCTAAGAAATTGACTCCTAGGTTTGTTGGTCCCTTTAAGATTTTGGAGAAGTTGGGACCTACTACCTATCGGATTGCCTTACCATCGAGTTTATCAAGTGTTCATGATATGTTCCATGTGAGTCAGCTCAAGAAATATCAACTCCATCCTTCTCATGTTATCAAGTTGGAAGAGATGAAACTCCAGGAAAACTTGACCTATCGAGCTGAACTAGAGCAGATTGTAGATATGAAAGATTGACAATTGAGAAACAAGACCATTTGATTGGTTAAGGTCTTTTGGAAGGGTATGACTCTTGGTGCTATGACTTAGGAGATCGAGGATAAAATGAGGCAACTATATCCCCAATTATTTACACAAGTGTGTGTTTGAGCAAGATTCTGAATTTTGAAGGCAATGAAAAATATTTTTCATTGTAGTATGGCCATACATTTTTTCAGTCTTACTCATCGAGGGGCCCAGTAATATCTCTCACTTAATGTGAGGGACAAATTTCATTTTGATCACTCATATTCCTTTGCATAAATATCACTAAACTCAATCATAACCTTTATGATTACCCGATCAAAGGTGACTTTTGACTAGGTCAAAGTTCAATAGCCATCATATAGGAATCCATGATGATCTCAGGTCAAAGGGCTTAGTGATATAGTTACATATGAAATATGCTTATGACTTGTACCATGCAGCTTTCTCATAGCGAGTCAGTCTAGCACCTTATACTCTTTCAAGTGCCTATGACTTTAATTTGTATCTTTATAATTAATCAAAGTCATACCAATCTTGTTTCATCTATGATCCCTCATATATGACCGATCAGGGACATTGAGGACAATCACTATAGTTTGTCCAAAGATACAGTAATCATATTGAACATGCAATTGTTATGATAATAAAAGAGAAATTCATTAAATAATAATATATATAGTATAATGGGTATTATATTTGAAGACAAATAGAGATCTGGCTTTTTCCCCTTATGTGAGTTAGATGCGGTGCCAATCATTTTATTCACCATTAATTACCTTTAATATTAAAATTCAAAAACAGTTTCTATAAATGTGCTCAAGGTTGTTTGTAGATACACATTGCTCAAGAGTCTTCGAGCTCTTCTCTTTTGCATCATAAGTTCTTCCTATCTTGAATTATTTCTATTGTTCTATCACTCTATTCATTTTATAAGAGAGTTTCACTTAATCTTGGGTCGCTCCGACAATTGTGTTGAAATTGCTCTTAAAAATAGTATCTTTTTCAGCACGATTTAGAATAATTTTTTTACAAAATATGCCTATACCTTTTAGCTTAGTTATTGTTTATAATTGTTCTTGTATATGCTTCATGGCAATGTAGTAATTAAACTTCCAAACATCATGGTCCCTCTCTTGTATCTTGAATTGCCTACCATGTCAGTAGAAACATCAGATAATGCATAGGGAGTCTTATGATTATATATTTTTCCTTGTTTTTGTTTGTCATGTTTTCTGATGGAAATAGTGAAAGGATTGAATGGTGGTTATAAGAGGTGATGGTTATCTGCAACGTGATTCATGATAAGGAAACTATTTGAAGAGAAAGTACCATTCATGATGCTTATTCAGAGGATCCTTACAATTGTTGAAATCTGAGCTTGATTTGCCAAATTGGAAGCTCAGCTTTTTCTTTGGGTGGGGTTTATGAAAAAGAATCTGACATTTTTCTTCGGTTGAATTATTTATATGTGACCAATAGCAATGAGATTTAATGTATTGGCTCATGAATTGCAATCAAGTTAAAGAAAATATCCATTACTGTAATAGCATGTTATTATAAATGATAATTGTCTAATTGTCAATACCCTTAATTAAGTTATAAATGTATAACATTTGAAACTTGAGAGTATTTTATAAATTTTATGGAATCTCTTAATAAATTTTTTTATATGAGACTTAGATGTAATTTTTCCTCATTTTTTTCAATTTGATTTTTGATTCTATTTGGGTTGTCTGCTCTTTTGTCATTATCATTATGCCTTGTATTACGATTCTTCATTTCTGAAAATATTTATTTGAAATAAAGTATGCTAATATTTTTCTCCGTTTTGTATTTTGATGGTATCTTTTCCTATTTTCTTGCAGTGGCGTTCACTACAAGTTTCAGAAAACACAAGATTATTGCATCCTTATATAATGTTTGTAAATAATATTATGAATTAACATTATGACGCCGGTAAAAAAAAAAAAAATTGCGTCATGATACTATTACCCACTTAAGATTTCTAATTTGCGAAAGAAATTATGCTATTTTTCTCGTTCATTATTTGATTAATTCACTTATTATTTGTATAATCAAGAATTATGATTATAAGTTTTGGTAAAATGCAATCTCAACAATAATGAATATAACATAAAAATAAAATAAAATAAAAATTTTGGTGTTAAATGATCAAAATAAAAATAAAATAATCCATCACAATATAATTGGTAGAACCTAATTCCACAATAGATTTTCCAAATCAAAATTATTCCCACATACTCCCTCCAAACCACAATATAAATCATAATTAATTAATTCATGATTTATAAATAATGTTAGTTAAAACTTTAACTTCTTAAAAATATTCACATCTTTTTATTCATATTCTTAATAAATACCCTATACAAAAGCCTTGATAATAATAATTAAAATTTCAATATATGATTTTTTTCCTAAAAAAAGTAATAAATAGAGTAGGAACATAGTTGAAAAAATAAAAGTTATTCAATTTTATATTTTGAATTAGGTAAAGTTTCTAAAAAATGCATCATACTGTATACCAAGGGGATCAAAAAATGTATTGCTGATTCGATATGCTCACATTTTTCAGATAAACAGTGAAAAAATAGAGATGAACGTGAAATGGCCCAGATGAGATGATCTGAGAACCATGCAAAGTATTGTTTATAGGCATCGAGATACATCCACTTGTACAGTCAGTTACAACTAACACAAATAGAACATTTGCTATAACCGTACCTATAACTTGATGACAGTACACGTAGACTATGAATTAACTCTCACAAACAAAAGTTCAGAAAAAGGAGAAGAAAAAAAATATATGATTGCTGAGATAAATTCCTGATTAATGGTGTGTATATTTTGAAAACAGGATGATCCATGTTTTCATGCCGTAAATATAAATCCAACATGCTAGCAATATAAATTAATGTTGACTATGCTATCATTCTCTATCAATACTTCCTCTACAGCCCCTACTCAACAAAAAATCTCTCAACCTGTGTTTGAGCCAACAACTTGAACCAAACATGATGGGTTAGCCTGAAAAATTTTAGGATTGAGTTTGAGTTCAGAAAGTTTTCTCTACACTGGATTTATTCTATTATTGGAACTGCCTAAATAAGCTCAAAAAAATCCAAAGTCAAACCCAAACTTGCATGGGAATACCCAAATTTGTTTTCATTATTAATAAAATTAAGATTAACTCACTTAAGACTCACAAACACCCAGTCTGCATATTTCAGTCCTAAATGAAATTTTAATATTCTAATAACTGTTTGTTTCGAATACCTTTTAAAAATATTAAGTAAAAATAAAAACAAGGTTATTTCAAATGCTTTATGTTTGGTCTCACTTTGATAAGGATAGGGGAAAAAAGATGCTATATTATGTTGATTGAAAAACTTTAATTTTCTATAATAAAAATTGAAATTTGTTAAAAAATAAAATAATATTCAACTGGGCAAACCCAAAAGCCTAAAGTATATGAGCTTTATATGTTTATGTATTTTACAGCCTGGCCCAAATATGCCCGCCCCATCTGAAGTGCTGACTCTAAACTGCATGCCCGCAGGCCCGGTAGAACCAGTGTTCAATATTTTCTGCTCCAAATCGGGGGCAGAAAATCATTCTCCATAGATTATTAGTAGACGCCTTCATCTGCAATAAGTGAAAAGGAGTTAAGCATGATAATATTTAGAAGCTGACGACATTGAAAAACGCCAAAGCTAAATATTCAAATAGAAGATGATCAAAGTGAATTAAAAAAAAAAAAATGGCACTTGCAATTAACCATTAAAGTGATGTTCAAGCGGACAATACCTTCCCCGTCATCCACATCATTGTAATCATCTTCATCATCGTCAAAATATTCATTCTGCAAGAGCAAGGTATTAGTTCGAGTGTAACATTTTGTTTTCTAATTTAAGCTTTCCAACACAATCATAAACATAGATATTGCAATTTTACAATTTATATTGCAAAACAGTGACATAAAGAAAGAGGATTGCTGAATTAGTGACTTGACTCATCAATCTTCAACAATAAACCTCAAACTACAGGAAGTTATTAAGCCTCTTATATGTCATATTAGGAAAATTGCAAAGCACATGGTGTAAGCACTCATATAATTGTTCAAAAGTCAAAACTTCAAGTTTATACTGCCATGTGATTTAATGGAAAAGGAAAAAGAAGGCGCCCCATGGTTATTATAAGAGAATGAGGGATTTGAGATAACTGCTGAGGAATGGAATTTGCAACAAAAAAACAGACTAATTTTGAATGAGTCAATAAGATAATAATATGAAAGAAAATTATGACATCAAAGTCAAGGCCATTTCAGAACCTGATTGTAGTCATCATCACTAAGTTCTTCCTCGCCCTCCTCATTTTCTGCATTTTCATCATCTTCTTCGTTTTCCCCTTCTTTCTTTTCCTTTTCACCTTTATCTTCCTGGCCCTGCAGAAAAAAGAATCATTGACAAAGGATTTGGGAACCACTGCACGAGTGAAGTAGCCCTATACTGTTTCATATCGGTAAATGCAAATATCATCTTATATTGGATCAGAGCCGCTATTTCATACAATATTGGTCAAGGGCACAGGACTAAGTTTACATTTGACAGGGAGGGAACCATCCGCCTTCATTTATCAAACCAAAATTATATTAGAAGAGTTGTGGTGTGTTTAAATTAATGGAAATTTGAATTTGAACCAAATCCCTCATTTAGATAAAAAAAAAAAAAGAAATTATGGATTAAGATTTCATTCAAATACAAATCCTTTGAAATTCTCTCCACACTCTAGTCATTTGAAATTCAAGCAATTTCAAATCTCTTATTCTCTTCACATTTTCACTATTAATGTCTTTTTAATTCTCATCTCTTCACATTTTTTGTTGATTTGAAAATAAAAGTAAACTCCGCCTACGTTTATAGCTGGTCCCAAGCCCAAGTAAAGGAAAAGAGTTGTGTTAGCCCATCAACAGCCAACGTAAAATTTTCTTAAATCTATCATGAACATGGACAATAGATGTTATAATGCTAATGTTAGGTCACTGCCTATAAGTAATACGTTACATGGCTCGAGCACAATGATAAGTAAGTTAGAGCCGCTGCATCGGCACTCGAATGTAGTATTAAATGAGCAAGGGCTACCGCATCATTCTGGACATGCGTAGCTAAAGAAATTAGTCCATGAGAGCAAGATTAAATTTGTTACTTGGAATGTTAGGACATTGAATTGCAAATAATCTGTAGAAGTTGTAGGGGTTATGATTTAAAGAAAAATCAATATCCTATACCTGCAAAAAACAAAACGGCGTGGAGAAGAAGTTAAGGTATTCAAGGTTTCAAACTTTGGTATACAGAAAAAGTAAACACACGCAATGGAGTAGGCATCATTATTGATAAGGAGTGGAAGAAGAACCTTATAGAAGTTAACAGAATTAACGACAGATTATTTCCTTAAAAATGATAGTTAAACGTCAGATTGTTAATATTGTTAGTACTTATATGCCTCAAGTCGGGACAGAAGCTAGTTTTAAGGAATTATCTTGGTAAGACTTGGAAGGGTTGATTCAATACATACCACAGTGAAAAGATTTTATTAGAAAAAATTTTAATAGGCATGCAGGAGAGAGGCTAGTCAGTATGCGAGGGTGCATAGTGATTTTAGTTTTGGAGAGCTAAACAATAAAGGACAAACTCTTCTTGATTTCTCATTGGCATATAATTTTAAAATTGCCCAGTATGCGAGAGTGCATAGTGGTTTTAGTTTTGGAGAGCTAAACAATAAAGGACAAACTCTTCTTGATTTCTCGTTGGCATATAATTTTAAAATTGCCAACACTTATTTCAAGAAGAAAGATGAGCATCTCATCATTTACAAAAGTGGAGCCTCAAAGTCATAAATTGATTTTCTTTTAGTTAGAAATATGGATAAGATTGGACTACATCAGGGATCATCTCTGAGTCCTTATTTGTTCAACTTGATTTTAAATGTTTTGACGGAACATATTCAAGAGGAAATCCCGAAATGTATGCTCTTTGCGGATGATATAGTTCTTATAGCAGAGACAAGAGAAGAGGTTAATTGCAAACTTGAGTTATGGAGGAGGACATTGGAGTCGAAAGGTCTTCGTCTGAGTAGAACTAAGACGGGAATATTTATATTATAAATTTGGTAAAGGACTATTCGAAAATAATTTGGAAGTGAAATTGGGAGATCAAATTATACCTCAAGTGGAAAAGTTTAAATATTTGGGAGCCATTATTCAAAATGATGGCGAAATTAGTGGAGATATTTCACATAGAATTCAAGTTGGGTGGTTTAATTGGAGAAAAGCTAAAGGAGTTATTTGTGACCGTAAGGTGCCTAATAAACTTAAAGGAAAGTTTTATCGTACTGCTATCAGACCGGCAATGTTATATAGTAGTGAATGCGGGCTCTAACGGGACAGCAAGAGCATAAAGTTGGAATAGCAGAGATGAGAATGTTACGATGGATGTGCGGACATACACGTAAAGATAAAATTCGAAATGAGCACATACGTGAAAAAGTGAGGGTGGCACCTATTGAGGAAAAAATGGTAAAAAATCGGTTGAAATGGTTTGGGCATGTACAAAGAAGACCAAGGGAGGCACCAGTGAGAAGAGTGGAACATATAACTTTGAGTCCGATTAAGAGAGGTAGAGGAAGGCCTAAGAGAACACTCTTGGAAGTTGTTGAACGTGATCTCTTAATTAATAATATTTCTAAAAGCTTAATAAATGATAGAGCACAATTGGCGTCTTGCAATCCATGTAGCCGACTCCACCTAGTGGGATAAAGGCTTGTTGTTGTTGTTGTTGTTGTAGAAATATGGATAAAAGACTCTGTAAAAATTGCAAGGTAATTCATGGAAATGCTGTAACGACACAACATAAGGTCCTTATTCTTGATGTGTGTATTATGAGTGAAATTCAAAAACGTCAACAAGTAATAATACCAAGATTAGGTAGTGGCAATTAAAAGGTAAGAAACAAAATATTTTCAAAAAGAATCTTTTGGATAAAGAAATTTGGAAATCTCAAGAAAGTACTAACATCTTGTGAGAGGATATGACTAAAAAGATAAGGAAGATTGTAAAAGTAGTTTTGAGAGAATCAAAAAGTTTTGGTCCGAGAAATAAAGAGTCTTGGTGGTGAAATAATAGTATACAGGACAAAATCAAATATAAGAAGAACTGCTTTAAAGCCATTGTGTAACAATGAGAAAAATTAGGAAAGGTACCGTATGACTAAAAAGAAAACTAAGAGTTATGAGTGAAACTTGTTTTAAAGCTTTTGACAAACTTTACAAGAGCCTTAAGACAAAGGAAGGAGAATGAAACATTCATAAGATTACTAAGAGTAGAGAAAAAATCAAGAAATTTAGAACAGGTAAGATGTATAAAGGATGAAGAGGAAAGAATTTTAGTTACAGATGATGAAATTAAAAATAGATGGGAGACTTACATTTTCAAACTTTTCAATGATGGAGAAGGTTAGTAACTGGTGAAGGAAAACAAAATTTGTTATTCTATCGAATACTACGTGATAAGTAAAAAAAGCTCTTAAGAAAATGGCAAATAATAAATCCAACGAACCTAATTGTATATCTATTTAAGTATGAAAATGTTTAGGTAAAAAATGGGTGAGATGGTTAACTAAGTTATTTAATGTGATTTTATGGTTCAAGAAAATGCCTGACGACTGGAGGAGAAGTACATTAATTCCTATTTATAAAAATAAAGGGAATATTCATAATTATACTAACTATAAAGGGATTAAACTCATAAGCCACAATGAAATCATGAAAAAAAGTAATTAAACATAAGTTGAGATTGAAAATAAGTAATTCTGAGAATTAGTTTGGTTTTATACCAGATAGATCGAATACAGAAATGATTTATCTACTAAGAGAATTAATGAAAAAATATCATGCAAAGATAAAGATTTACATATATTTTTTATTGACTTGGAAAACACTTATGACCGTATACTAAGAAGTGCTTTGAAAAGCCTTGAAAAAGAAGGAAGTACGGATTGCTTATATTAAAATTATACAAGATATGTATGAGAGGATTAAAAACTAGTATAAGAACATCTAGTAGTCAAACAAAAGACTTTCCTATAAAGATTGAATTACATCAAGAATCATTTTTGAGTCCTTATCTATTTAATTTGGTCCTAAATGTTTTAATGGGACATATTTAAGGGAAAATTCTCAAATGTTTGATCTTCACAGATGATATAGTTCTTATAGCAGATACAAGAGAAGATACTAATTCTGAACTTAAGTTATGAATGAGGACATTGGAGTTGAAAGGTTTCCGACTGAGTAAGAGTAAGACAGAATATTCATATTGTAAATTTGATAAGAGATTAATCGACAGTAATTTGGAAGTGAAATTAGGAGATCAAATTATACCTCAAGTGTAATGGTTTTGATATTTGGGAGCTATTATTCAAAATGATGGCGAAATCAGTGAGGATATTTCACATAGGGTTCAAGTTGGGTGATTTAATTGGAAAAAAGCTAAATGAGTTATTTGTGACCGTAAGGTGCTTAATAAACTTAAAGGAAAGTTTTATCGTACTGTTATCAGATCGGCTATGTTATATAATAGTGAATGCCGGGCTCTAACGGGACAACAAGAGTATAAAGTTGAAGTAATAAAAATGAGAATGTTATGATGGATGTGCACACACGCAAAGACAAAATTCAAAATGAGCACGTAAACGGAAAAGTAAGAGTAACACCTATTGAGAAAAAAAGGTAGAAAATTATTTGAGATGGTTTGAACATGTACAAAGAAGACCACGGGAAGCACCAGTGAAAAAAGTGGAACATATAACTTTAGGCCCTGTTAAGAGAGGTAGAGGAAGGCTTAAAAAACACTCTTGGAAGTTGTTGAATACGATTTTTTAATTAATAATATTTTTAAAAGCTTGGTAAATGATATAGCACAATAGCGTCTTGCAATCCATGCAGCCAACCTCACCTAGTGAGATAAAAACTTGTCGTTGTTGTTGTAAAAAATAAAAGTAAACTCATCACTCCTGATCTTTCATTTTCATTTTGAATGTAAAACTCATTTTTTTTCTTCATTTGAAATTTTTTGAACTACACAACCAAAGGATTTTAAATACATGAATTTTAAATGTGAGATTTAAAACAAGATTCTAAATCTAAAATTTAAATCCAAATCCATAAATCTAAATGCTATTTAAAAGTATTTAAAAAAAAAACCTACAAAACCACCTCCCAGCAGTATAGACTTAACTGGTACCAAATTAAATAAGGAATCCATTGGACAAGAACTGTGACAACTGACCACTGTACTGTTACCATGGAAAAATGTTGGCATGATAATTTAAGCTGAGGTACTTTACCTGGGCCTTTTTCTCAAGCTGTTCAAAGAAATCTAGTGCCTTCAAATCTGTCACATAAGCATCTTAAATAAGTCCCATGCAACATCACAAATCTATATGTCTATAATATAATTCTATCGTAAGTTAAGAAGGATATGCCTAAAAACCAAAGTTCACACTTAATGCAAGTCCGGCACAACGTGACAAAATCTAATAATTGGAATCCAATTTTGGCAGCAGGTGAAGCTCTGCAACATTTATGTATCTCATTACATTTTTCATGGAAAATTTGCCATTAAAATATACTGTTTATTTATCAAAATAACTCAATGATATATATATGATAGAACCAGTAATAGAAGTTTCAACATGATTTTTTTAAGAGGGAGAGATCTATTTGCACTATGAAGATGAACTTCTGCGCCAACGTTAAAATGAATACGTGGCTCCAATTAGCAAACAACTGACAACTTTTAACAAAATAAATACAAACAAAAGGCATGTGAAATCATCAAACCTGACTCTGGGTTCCACCGGAAATTTTTCCGCTTTGACATACGTCTTGCTGCACCTAAAAATACCATATGGAGATTTGGTGAATCTTCATGAAAATGAACCTAAAAGATTAGAAGTGTAATATATTTGTGGAATTCAAAACATGACTATTGTATGTATTCCATCATACATACCTTGAGTCAACTCCTTAGGGAAATCTTTGAACTCTAAAACTTGTGAAAGAGAATCGCGAGTAAACACAGTCTTTTGCCTGTCTGAAAATCTTTCCACATCTAGCCTTTGCCTCTCTGACATTTGGACAGATATCAAAATAATGTAAATGAAGCTTAACACAATAAAAGCTAGTATACAGTTGTCAAAGGGAAACTATCATATAATTGGAGCCAAGTATGGAGCAAATATGCAATAGAAAATATGTAATTTTTTAAAAAACTCTATGTCTGGTCTGTCTGGATGCACCTCAAACCAGATTATATATCAAGACCCCTTTAATCCCATCTGATGTGATATGTGGCACTAATTCTGATATGTAAATATTAGGAAATATAAGAATTAGTTAAGTATAGGGGCATAAGAGGTATAATCGTTAATTAGATACTCTATTACTGTATTAGTCCTTAATGGGTCAGCCTATAAATACCCCTATGTCCAGATATGTAGTTGTTGATTTCATTGATGAGAAAGCATACTTTTCAGAAAAGTCTCCTCTATTCTCTTTCCCTCATCTACCTATCTCTCGTATTCTCTCTCTGTCTCTCTTTATCCTAACAGTGGTATCCAGAGCCATTATTTCCTCCCTTCTATGCCCATCACCTGCTCCCAATCAAGGATGACTGATCAAACAGATACAAGACTCACTATTGTTAAAAATCATATCAAAGCTCTTACTACCCAAATCGCAGAACTTGTTCGCACTGTAGAAAAGTCTCGCAATAATCATGAAACAGATTCTAATGATGCAAAAGGACACCATCGATGAATTGGAGGAGGACGCCAACGACAAAGACAAGAAAGGGAATACCAACCTCCTACTAGATTTACCAAGATAGAATTTCCAAGATTTCAGAGAGGGAATGTTCTTGGATGGCTCATGAAGTGCGATCAGTATTTCCAAATTGATAACACCCCAAATGCATGGAAGGTGATGATGCCAATACTCATCTTGATGAGAAGGCCTTTCAATGGCATCAAACCTTCATGCGTACGAGAAGGAGATGTGTGACCAGATGGGCAGAATACTCAAAAGCAATAAAGAACCAATTCATACCCACCTATGAAGCACCCATGGCAGAACTTATGTGACTGCGACAGACAAAGAGTTTAGGAGATTCTAATGATTCCTTCAATGAAATTGTGTGTAAGCTTGACCTAACTAAGGAATATTTGGTGCATACTTATTGGAGGGTTTACAAGAAGAATATGCTAGGCTCGTTAGGTTACTTAAGCCCACACTATTCAAGATGCAAGAAGCTTAGCCTGACTTCAAGAAATACACCTTCGGATATCACACGAAGCAAACATGTGGCCAAGAAAGGTGTCATACACATCACAAGGCAATGCCGTGTCATCTTCGGCAAATTTGCGTCCTACAAATACCTGGGCAGCACCAAAATAGAGCTTCTCACATGATGGGTCTCGCCAAAACACAATTAAAACAGCACAAACCAACATTAGAATCATCAATCGCACAAAGCACAGCCACTAACATAGCAAAAGATTCATCTTTTTCTTCTCACCAATTTATTTATGGGATTAAATCATCAAAATTAACACCAAAGGAGGTGGAACACACAGCACCAAACCGCTATTTTTACTGCCATAAAAAATTTTCTAGGGATCCTAATTGCCCTCAAAGATGCAAGATGCAATGCAATTAATAGAGTTTGATGAAAATCTTGAGGAAGATGAGCTACGATGCGAGGAGACAGACCTTGATGAACAAGAAAATCCTACTGAATGCCATGAAATTTCAATTCATGCCATTGAGGGTAAAGTTAGCTTGAATTCTATGAGACTTCAAGGGTAAGTGGGAGGAGACCCATCCAAATTATCATAGATAATGGAAGCGGCCACGTTTTCTTGATTATGACTTAGCAAAGAAGCTGGGTTGGAGTGAAGAAGATGGATGGGCTGATGCAGTGGTTGCAGGGGCTGGGAAAACTAAAAATATATGGAGTTTGGAAGGCATTTTAAATGGAAAATTGCAATGAGAGGACTTTTTGCCGAGACTTCCGGATAATGAAAATATGCAATTACGATATTGTGTTGGGCTGGGAATGGCTTAAAACGCTTCATTATGCTTTTTAGGATTATATTTCTACTACCATGCATTTCTGGAATTATGGAAAACTGTGTGTTTTGCAGGCACAACCTCCATCAAAATGGCAAATGGTTGATTCCACCAAGTTCTAAATTAAGAATGTAGATGGGTGCCAATTATTTCTACTCCAATTGGCAGAAAGTAGTCAATCTCAGTCTCAAATCCTTGCTGTGCAACCAACAACAACACTTCCAGAGGCTGTTGGTGACCTTTAAAAGTCTTTTTGACGAACCCAAAGGTCTGCCTCCTTTTAGGAAGGGTCATAATCACCCTATTCTTTTACAAGAAAGGACAGATCCTATTAATCTCAAGCCTTATCGTTATTATTCTATTTAAAAGGATCTTATTGAGAAAATGGTGGGAGAGTTGCTAGCTGTAGGTGTGATACAAGAGAGTAGCTCCCTTTTTGCTGCACCTATTGTATTGCTGAAAAAGAAGGATGGCTCATGGCACACGGGTATCGACTAGCATGAGCTTAATAAGAAGACAATCAAAAATAGATATCCTATTCCACTTTGTGGAAGAATTATTTGATGAATTGATGGAAGCTAGGTGTTCACCAAGCTGGATTTGAGAGCCAGATACTATCAAATCTGAATGGAGCCTCAAGACACTCAAAACAGCCTTCCGGTCTTGCTCGGGCCATTATGAGTGCTTGGTTATGCCATTTGGCTTAACCAATACCCCAACAACATTTAGGGAGCCTATTCTTAGACCTTATTTGTGCCACTTTGTTCTTGTTTTTTTCAATGATATTTTAGTTTATAGCCCAGATTTGAATCTGCATGTTCAGCATCGAAGACTAGTGTTTGAAATTTTGCAGAAAAATCACTATTTTATCAAGAGGAGCAAGTGTACATTTGCCAACAATAAAGTGGAATGCTTAGGTCACATCATTAGCAATGGAGAGGTGGCTACTGACCCTCAAAAAATTCAAGCAGTGGTGAATTGGCCTACACCGACTACTATTAAACAATTGAGCTTGCAATTTATGAGAAAGAATTATTGGCAGTTGTACTAGCTATCGAGCATTGGCACCAATACCTTGAACGAAGGAAGTTTATTATCAAAACAGATCAGCAAAGTCTTTGATTTTTGCTGAGTTAGAAATTGAAGACCCCTTTTCAGATGTATTGGGTTACAAAGTTAATGGAGTATGATTATGAGATTCATTACAAAAAGGGGGATGATAACACTACTGCAGATGCTCTTTCTCAACTCTCACAACCTCAGTTGCTTCAATGACTTTAGATACGTCATCTTCGGAATTATTACACAAGCTTGAGGAGAGTTGGGAGTTGGATCCAGATCTCAAGGCCCTTATTTCTGAATTACAAAGACAAGATGGCAGTATTAAGCCTACTCTTGGGATGCAAATTTCTTAGAAGAAATGGAAAGCTGGTGGTCAGTGAAAGTCCAGCTTTGAGGCAATTATTCTAGAATGGTTACATGCCAGTGCTCAAGGGAGACACTCTAGAATAAAAGCCATATATCAGAAAATCAAAGGGTTATTTGGTGGGAGAAAATGCTGCAAGATGTGCTGAAGCAGGATTTTGTCAAAAATTGTGACACTTGTGCCCGCTGTAAATATGAAAGTGTAGCAAGTCCAGGACTGTTACAGCCACTACCAATTCTGAGTAAGGCGTGGAAGAGTGTTATAATGGATTTTATTGAAGGCTCCCCAAATCGAGTGGGAAAGACATCATTCGGATTGTAGTGGATAGAATGAGCAAGTATGCCCATTTTATGGCTCTGTCTCGCCCATTTTATGGCTCTATCTCGCCCATTTTTAGTTTCTACATTAGCTCAAGCATTCTTAGATAATATATATAGATTGCATGGCGCCTCGGTGAGGTGATAAGTGATAGGGACCTGGTGTTTATTAGTAATTTTTGGAAGGAGTTCCTCCAGGTGATTAGAGTGGAGAAGAAGCTTACTTCTTCCTACCATCCTCAAACTAATGGTCAATCCAAGGTGCTCAATTGATGCTTGGAAACTCATTTACGTTGTATGTGTTGGGAAAATCCTAAAGAATGGAGTAGATGGTTACCACTTGCTGAATGGTGGTATAATACTAGTTTTCATACTTCTATCAAAGCTACTCCCTATGAATTACTTTATGGGCAGAAACCTTCCTTTCTCTATATATTCCTTATTTGCCTACAACAGCAATTGTTGAAGTTGTGGATAGGAGTTTTGAAGCAAGGGAACACATGATTGGAGTCTTAAAACATCATTTGCACAGGGCAACGAATTTAATGAAGCAAAGGCCTGATTTGAAAAGATCTGATCGAGAGTTTGAAGAAGGTCAATGGCTGTTTTTGAAGTTATAGCCTTATAGACAAATATCTATTGCCTCTAGAAGCACTCAAAGCTAGCACCAAGGTATTGTGGGCCTTATAAAGTGCTCAAGAGAATTGGGAAGGTTGCCTACAGACTGGAATAACCTCCTAGTTCTAGAATCCATTCCACTTTTCATGTTTTCTCCTCAGGTTATGCCCTGACCAGTCAGTGAAGCAGAGACATCCGCCTGATGAATGGCCAGAAATTCCAGAATTGTTATTTCCTGAGAAGATACTGAACAAACAAGTGGGAAGAAAGAATGGAAGGATTATTACTTAAGTGTTAGTTCAGTGGAAAGGCTTGTCAGATGAGGAAGCTACATGGCTGTCTCAGTTTAAATTTCAGAAGCAGTTTCCAGATTTTTCTCTTGTTGATCCTTGAGGGCAAGGATGTTGGGGAGGGGAGTATTGATATATAAATATTAGGAAATATAGAATTAGTTGAGTATAGGGGTATTAGAGGTATAATTGTTAATTAGGTACTCTGTTACTGTATTAGTCCTTAATGGGTCAGCCTATAAATGCCCCTAAGTCCAGATATGTAGTTGTTGTTGATTTCATTTATAAGAAA